TTCACAAACTTTGAGCAGCCTTGGCTAGGTTTGTTTATCTTAACGTTTAGTGTTGTTATGGTATTCATAGGCTCGATCATTAGTTTGCCGTTTCAACAAAGGCGTCCCGTGGTCTAATTCGCATTGAATAGAGGTTTTTCGGTTAAACGTAAGGCAGTTTGAGAAAGTGGTCGTTATCTGTACACTGATTTAATCAAAATATGAGTAAATTTAAATGTGCTGTAAACCCGTGTCCCAGATAAGTGAGAGTATTGCTGTGCTGCTCTAGCAATAAGGATCAATCAGTCAGTAGTGAGTCTGACCTCTTGACTGCTCCAATTTGGGGCCTTTGCATTATATCTCGCTGTATTTACCATTCACATAAGAGGATGGTATGCAAAACATAATTTTGACCATGAGACATTCATTTTTGCAACTAACCATATGGTTACATAAGCCTGTGTAAATATTTTTTCGGATTGACAAGCAGGTGCTCGAAATATGGCGAAAACACAAACACGATGTGCACTGGTGAGAGCGAATAGAAGTTGGAGCTTGTCTGAGATGTAGACAAGACTTAGAAAGTTTGCTGTGTAACAGATTCTTAGTGTTTGAGAGTGTTTCGTAAGTAAAATGTTCATATGCCATATTACTTGTCAAGTGTATCTCAGGAAATGCCATTGCATTTCAAGTTGTGTCCTGTAGACCCTAACAACGCAAGAGTATTTTTCAATCAACCATAGAAAATTAATAATAATCTGTACGATTTGAGTAAAAACTAGAAAACTAACAAATACGAAACAGATTTAATCCATGATCGAACTGAAATGCGGGACTTAATTAACTTCGAAAAGTATCTCTCTGGCCTGTTGTCGAATTTCGGCATATTGTGTGATAAGGTGACGTAAAGGCAGTTGAGCGCTGGTGATATTGGTACGGGTCCTTGTGGAAACGGCAAGAAACCAATTGTGCCTTTCCTCCGTAGCTTGTCAGCTAAAATTGAAACGAAACCCCTTGACTTTAGAGTATCAGGCTTGGATTAACCCATTCGATTGTTCAGAGGTACCGGGCGCTCTTGATGGTCTTGAATGTGGGTTTAACTCCTTGGGAGATCTTTAATTGCCTAAGTCGAATGTTCGCAGTTCGAGTGCTAACAGGGACATCAAAGGTAAGCACTGCTGACAAGTCCCAAACAGAATGAAACAGCTGTCCAGTGCTCTTTATCGGTTATCACAAACATTTCCATAGCATTTAAATGCATTTTTCTCGTGGGAAATTAACGACCTCTCAGGGGATGAAACACCTTGACATTTAAAAACATCTGAGTGAAAGTGAACGGAATTCAGGCCAGTTTGCAACATCAGTTAAATTGTTTTAGATCCTCATTTGCTTCATAAAATAACCTCATGGGTATTTGCTTAACCAATTAATATATAAAAGGAATAAATTATATAGGAAGAAGAAAACAACGGCATAACATTGGGTCTTATGAACTAATGAAAATCACTGACGGAGCCGCTTTGTTGCATTGGGTGCAGACAGCAAAGGTTTTGCAAACCTACTTTAGCACTGGGTATTTGTTCGATCTTGTGCATTTCAGAAATGAAATCCAAAACGCGCGTGCCCGAAGAACATCAAGCAATAGTTTATCACACACAGACACACAGGCATTGAACGTGCCATCATTGTTAGATCTCGAAAGCACGTGAGACGTCACTACTCGTGCCTATCCCAGTCAAATGCAAACGTTTCCTAAAATAACTTCAACAAACTAGGCGTGGCAACAAAACCGTTTCATCGGTGAGTGACGCGCTAAATGCGCATACAAATGATAAATGTAATTTATTTAATAATGCGGCTTGATTGATCTCGGGAAAATCATTTTCCCCTCTAGTTTTGCTAATTACCAGAAAATATTTTCACGTATTAGGGTTAGTGTGTGAAATAACTTATTTCCAATTGGGTACTTCATATATGAGACTAGTTTGGCCTAATATTTCTAAACTATTCATCCCAAGGTCAGGTGCAACATGGTAAGATCAATTGTCTATAAGTACCATCACACTAGTTGAGAGTACGTCATCCATTTGTATTCAGGGATTGATACTCACAGTTTATTGAAATGTAATAATAATCTCTGTTATAGTGCCTATCTATTTCGACCTCTCTTTTTCAGATGGAATAGTTCGGCCAACTGTCAACCTTCTTCGGACAATAAACCCACAATGAGCGATAACGGACCTCCGTTCACTGTGGAGAATGTGACTGAATCACGTGTAGAATTATGGCTTACGGTTGATAACGGGACGAAAAAATCTGCTCCACTCACGGTGGGCACACTGGACCGGAGTGGTGATGAAGCGATAGCTGATTTGTTGATCAAAAAGTGAGGACAGTGAATTATGGTGTGTGTTTACTACCGTAGGGACAAGAACGTACTGTCTTCCAATGGACTAGAATGGTTTCACATTCTGAGCAAATGAAATCTCAAGAAGGTTGATCGTCTTTGCTCAGAATCACTATAGAATTTTATCTAAGATGTGCTCGAAACATTAGAAGGTCACATGAGGAACTGCGGACTCTTCTTGTAATGATTACTCCAATTGTTTTCATCTCGATCAAACTGCTCTGACAGTTGATTGATTGATTTCAATTGAATTGATTTGTTGAATCCTGGAAAATCCGCAGTTTTATTTGGCCGTTCGAGGAGTCCTTCAAACGGTTTCAGAAATGGAGAAACTGTTTCATCTGAGGAGATTGTTAGAACGAAATATGAAATCTATACCTCTAGCGACTATGTACATATATATTATTTTAGTGGTATATATATAGTTGCGATTGTCGCGGATTTTACATTCAATTTGCTGTTAATGCACCTGCTTGGTTTCAAATCCCAACTAATAGGGATAGTGCCTGCTGTATGAAGAATTTGAGCTGTTTTTGATCTTAGCTTTTCAACAAACTGTGTCTGTATAGGTCTGATGTTGGTGATTTTCAACTGCATATTTGGTTTGCACAAACGTGGTCCACCACAGCGTCGAAGCAAGTAGCTGCCGTGACACATGATGGTTGTGGAAAATGCAGCTCATTGTTGCTGTTCAAACAAAGCGGTTCCGAGATTCCGGATGCGCCGGTAAGTAAGCATTTAAGCAGTCGATATAAAGATAACGTCCTACTTAAAGCCGGCACCAGACAAAATATCCAACAAAGAAATACAGTATTCTCATCGTGATAGTAGGAAAATCTTGTCTCGAACGAAGCTTGTTTACGATGAACTTTTTCCTCGGGATAATGCTGTTATATATAGGGTTATTTTCTTACATAAATACGATTTTAATGGCTTGAGAAGTGACTCACTTAAAACATATTTCCCCTACTATCTTTTTTCTGATTGAGATAATCGGCTTATTTTGTGAGATGAAAAGAACATGTAGTTGAATATTCATCCTAACTTGTCGTAGCCTGCGTATCTGGAAGGATAAACGAGGCAGTCTGTCAACACAGGCTAGCACATAGTAGGACCACAGTAGATTGCTCACTTTTTGACTCCCAGGTATTATGCGGTGTGTTCTGACGCCGGTTATGGAGTTGATAACTGAGGATTCCAAGGGATACTCAAACTGGGGAAGTCTAAAAACGCATTCGGAATACTTAAAACATTCAACTGGAGACCAGATTGTTTTGCAGGTATTTGAAGTTGTATTAAACTGTCGAAAAATGATACCATGTCAGAATGGTTTAAGATGGCTTGACAACGACCACAAAATCAGCATATTTAAAGGTCTTGTCTGGTGGGATAGTTAGTAAGTCACGGATGAATTTTAAAAATGAGTATGGTGAAAGCGCAGCACCCTGAACGACTCCCAGGTTATTCACTAACGGTTTTTAAACAGTGCTTTTTACTTTCGTTCTTCAAATCCCCCCTTTGGAATAGTCCTTAAGACACGATAATATAAAGATGGAACAACCGAATGGCAGTAACTTTCGGAAAAGAAGAAATTGTAAAACGGAAGCGAAAGCAAAATGAATAATTAAGAAAAATAGCGTACGGAGTTTTGGGAGTTGTCTAAAGATTTACAAATGAAGTTTATTATTGTTGGTTATTGAAGAGCTGATCACGGAATAAATGTACGTAACTTATCCCCCCTGCTTTTATAAGCTACTGAGCTACTTACAACTAAGAAAATGAATCATCGCTATCCAACTTCACCTCTCATCCTGTCAACGCCAACATTTGAATTTCAGTGAGATGAGATTATTTGGATTGGCGGAATATAGAACTAAACTTTCATTGTTTTGGCGAAAGTTTACATTTATAATGTTCATCGGTGTTGGGGTTTGGCTTTTCGTGTGTTATCATTCGTTCCTTTGATTTCTGCCATTGTGAATGACCGGGTCAACATGTTCCGGTACATGATTGCATTTGTGACTGTAAAACGGACTGAGGTAAGTTTGTATTGTACATTTGTATAATAGTCATCGACGATTGCTTTTAAATTCTTATTGGGACCAGTTAGCGAAATCTTGCTTTATAATAGAATCAAATGCCCCTATCACAGAGCTATCAGGTTAATGATTAGCTTTATGAGTGTCCCAAATCAATAATTAATTAAAATCTTTCTTATTTGGCCCGTAAGAACTAAAGATAAATCAATTATACGCAAACCGTTGTGTCCTTGAATGGAAATGGACGATAGAGGAAAGACTGCCTCTGAAATGTTTGAAGATGGCGAACAAGCATGGTTATATGTTTCTTCTAAAGTTTGAATCAAATTAAAACCTCGTGATCTGCTGAAACTTCAAACAATCAATTTCATTTATTGATTAGAAACTTGGTTTCACTACTGAAGTGATAGAACACAATACTCATTAGTTTTATGAGTATTATTCATATTTTTATTTGCACTATGCAGATCCAGATTGTCAATGACCTGTGCACACAGCAAAAGCCGTTGACGGTTCAAGTTTCCGATCTCCTGGTTGACGCAAAGTACGGAACTGCGAAGCTCCCGACCGACACCGTGCTGCAGCTAATATCAGAGCGCATGAGCGTGTTCACATACAATGAAGTAAACCTCACACGATGCAAGTCATTTTTGTCCTGGTTTATTTTTATTTTGGTCAGAATTCTCTGATATCTCTGATAATTGATGAAATTGTTCATGATTTCAGAATGCTGGTCAAATCCCAAGGGAAAAAGGTTCAATACTGGGCATTCTGCCAAAGTAATGCATTTAAAAATGAAAACTTTAACTGGAAGAGGTACTTATGGTTTTATATAGTTGTCTAGATGGAATTCTGATCTAACACTCCGGGATCGTTAATCCTTGCTGTCAAAAGTCGGTTCTTCAGGAAATGCTCTCAATATATTTTCCCTAGTCCACTGGACACAAATCACATTTGGGAAGCGAATCACTGGCGTTTATATATAAACCTGAACCAATCAGATTGTTCGGGCGGACAAATTTAAAGTCTTGTAGGGACCAATCATAAAAATGCAATTGATGCAGCAAAACAAAACGACCAATTCAAACATTACAACACACTTGCTCGTCGTATTTGGGAAATGCATATCCTAAAGTGATCGCAGGAGTCGGTAGCGAAGCCTCTAAATATCTTCCTTTATTTTTCACTTTTGATAAAGTGCAAAAAACTGATTTCCTTGCCTGTGTGATTCAGAGCTGGCTGACTCGGCATTTTTGGGTTGATGTAGGTCTACGTTATGTGAAATTTAGGCGACGGTTATGTTGCACTGTTTATCAATTAAGTTGATTGTCCTAACCTATCTATCCGCGAATGATTCGGTATTGGGGCTGGAATATTGTATACGGCCTTCTTTACGCGTTAGTCACAATACCTGGGTCTATGTATTTCACGATGATTCCCGCTGCTTCATCACTCTTCGTGTGAGGTCTTTTGCGAATTTGAATGTTTTGGTTTATCGATGAGTTGCAGCACATTTAAGATATTTCTAATAGTGCACGCCCGCATGAATCACAAAAACAGTTTGAATAACAAATAAAGAAGAATGATACCCAACAGTGCCGATTTATTCTTCTGATTATTGGGTATACGGAGAAAATAGTTCTAACAAGAAGTAGTCAACTACTATATGCCATGGACGTTTCCTATGAAATGGTGATACAATTGTCCTGTATGGTTTCATGAGGCACTATCATGAGAGTGGTCTTTTGAGCTTCATTGATATGAAGCAGTCGTGAACGAACTGGTGAAGACACTGATTGTTCTCGATTACTCTCAGACCGAACGCTAATGCCTTAAGATACAAGTAACTGCTGGGCTGCGTTTTTTCTTGTTTATCAACACTATTGTCTATTACCGGATGAAATAAATGTTTATTTCTTTTCAAGTTTTCGTATCAAATGAATTGATGGTCATCAGTTGACCATCAATTCATTTGATACGAAAACTCAATTTAGTTACTCTCAAAATATTAGTAGTATACTCTGATTTACAAAAATACATTCAATCAGTGATCCACGCGTTAGAATTGAAGTATATTATTACTTTCAAGTTTTTATCTCTGCTTACATTAGTGTTTACGAATCTGCTGCCATTACTGAAGTGATTGTTCGTACAGTGACAGCGAATGACTAACTTAGTGTGCTTTTCCTGCAGCTGCTTACGGAAAACATGTATTAATGCAATAAAGTGGATTCTTAATTTTGGTGGTATTTCATGGCGATAATGATGACCTCAGTATTGCGACTAACGAATATTTGTGCTAATGAATACGACTTTTTGGTTGGTGATAATGATAATAATATGGGAAATCAACGGATAATAAATGATGAAGGTTTGGGTCCCTTTTATCTAATTCCTTAAAACACACAGGAGACAAATGCTGCGAGATGGTGATAATTCTTTTAATCTCCTCAGTAGCTGCAACAAATTTATACATATATCTGTCTATCTTTAATCCACAAAAAAGACTGTAGTTACAAGACTTGAATGACACTTTTATTTCCATCTATTTTCAGCAACGAATTCAAACTATTTTGAAGTTGTCAAACTGGAAAAAGTTTTCGTTTACTGGAGACCGACAGCTACAGATGCTTTGGCAGTGAAGCAATTCAAACTAACCATTGAAGATGTGAACAGTAATTGTTCACACATCATCACGATAATAAGATACAATGAACGGGTAAATATCTCATTATGTATTTGGTTCAGACAGATAGTATTTTACTTTATTTGAAAGGGTATGGATTGGGTTGTGACAGATTGAATATCGAATCGCCCACATGCTGTACTTCATAGGATTTGTAAATATATCTTACCGGTTGTATGCGATGTGAATGCAAAGATTGTCCTGTTGAGTTTTGAACTGGTTATTTTTGTAATCATGGTTTTGTCAAATGACAAATATATCCATTTTTTTTACCAACAAGTGTATTAGGCGTGTTTCTTTTACTAGTTTGCGCGAAAAAGCATATAGTTCCAAATTGTAAACATCGCTCGTCTATCTCAATTGTTCATGCGGGTTTTACGTGCAGTTTAATCCGACTATAGTGATTACTAGATGAGTGTAGATATATGGATATGGATATATGGATAAATGTTCATTAGTTTTATAAATGCAACCAACTATAAGAAATGTTGTTCAACATGAGCAAATCTTTGACGTTTTGTTTACTGTTATGTTTAAAGAAAAATGGGTAATGCGCAGACGTGTGTACATATCACCATTCAAGTCTTTGCATTTTGCTGATGTGTACTCACTTGAAAAAATTCAATCGTTATTTTTGTATTAAGTTATGACACTTTAAGAGTTTTTCATGTTTTTAGAATATCTGATCATTATTCTGGTTTGCAATAAGTCGAGATTAGCAAATCCATTCGGTAAAAATGAATAAAATCACTTGAAATGATTAAACTAGCTGATCTATGCTATGAATATGTATGTATAACTGAACTTTATTTTCACCTGATTATGAACAGTCCTTTTCCACGTAGACCTTCAGGTTTGGCTGACTGACTGGCCCCTTACATGTATGGCATGACTAAGGGTATGAAAGTCCTATAAACCTACCCTCCATTCTTAGGCAGCCTACAAACATACTTTGTTTTAGTTTTTTCTGTCGGATATGGATGGCATGTACGCGGTGACTGAAAATACAACTTGGACTTGGAATCAGTTGGATTTTTTGACATTCGGTCCCGTGACGCCAGCGTCGAACGGAGAGATTAGTAATAAATCCGAATAACTGACGGAAAAGCAGAAGCGCTGTTCAAATGTTAACAAAATATAGTCATATTCTGTGGAAATCTGAGATTGCAAATGGCATTCGAATGACTTTGCTATAGCTAGAACATATCAAGTAGAAAAAGGGACAATTTATCGGAATTCAGAAATTGTTTGATTATTAAGCAGATGTTTCCTATGGGTTTGAAATAACGTTGGCCGAAGTTAAAACTGGCAGGGACGAGACAGCCGAAAGGATTAAAACCACAGTTCGTGAAGGATATCTGTGGTCTTGGCCAGTTTATTTCTCACAATATTGCTTGATTTTACATCATTTCGGAGCCTAGTTTACCAGATTATTTGTGAAAGACATTTGCCGGAACATGTACCTAATAACATGGGTAAATTACATTCCATGTCCTTATTGATATAGTGTTTTGGGATAGAAGGTAATTTACCTGTTAAGTCACGGTTCATCAATGGTACATCAATGATGTTTAGAAAACTGATCAAGCATGCTTGGACGAGACAGTTTAGGGAGAAATATGTTTTAGCAGAATAGTTGTTGTCGGCCTTAGGTTAATAGTTTCTGTCTCGATCCCAATCGAAACAGCCCCAGTAGCACCTTTTTAGACGCAAAAAGTATCTTCCATTCCTGAATCTCAATTCATTCACCTACCTCCAAACAGCTACGATTTAAAGGTTAATAGAAACATTTATATTTTTTCAATATAACACTATCAAAGGATGGTCTTGATAGCGAAGTGGATATCAGTGTATGGGCATGCCAGGAAAGGATATATAAAAAAAAGAAAAAAAGAATATCCATATATATATTGTATATTTTGAACCTGGTGAACTCAATAATCAAAATCTTGCGCGTGTGATATAAAAAATGAATCACACCGTTTATTGATATTGATATTATCTAATATGCTTTACAGTTGATACCAGAAAATGTTTGAACCACACATTAGTTCTGTTTTCAAAAAGTAACTGGTTTCGATGAGGAAACAAATCGGCTTTCTGAGCAGTCAATGACAGTCAAACCGTAGTGAAGTATAGACTTCAATATATAACGGAAAGGAGTGTTAGGCAATTCTGCAGATCATGCTTTATGCTGAATCATTGGTTTTTCAAACAAAACTTGACGAGGGAAAGCGCAAAACGTTCGAGAAAATGCGTCATACCACGGCTAACTAACGCGAACAATGTGTGTTGGTGTTGGAAGGTTTTCGAAGCAGGAAGTGAAATACGGATTAAACTGGCGTAAAACATGCTAACGGGGGTACTATTTGGTTCAATGAGCACCGAAATCTGAGACCAAGCCAATGCGCAGCATGGTGTGGTAGTCGAACGAACAAACCAAAACATTGTCAAACCGCAGCACATACATCCGTGGTAGTTAACGCTATGAGGTGACCTAGGGAGAATCATTCAGAATGCTGTGGTTGTGAACGTTACTGCATAGCGAACCCTGTGAAGCGGCTGTGCCAGTGAGCTTGTGTGGGCATGTACGCGTTTTCTTGGGTATAAAAATCAAGTCCAGTCCGTCAATAACAGTCACACAGTGACATGCTATTGATGAGTATGTGCATGCAAACGGTGTAGGGGACAGTCATATGGAGGGGCCACTGGGATGAATTGAATGGACCACATTGCGGTATTACAAGTGAGCGTTGCGGCCGCGTGTATGTAAAAGGCTTACAGAACAAAGTTAATCAAGTGGAATGGATTCAAAAATATTTTCTCTCCGTTGAGATTAACTGCAATGTTTACTCCGAACCAAACTATGATTAATGTTCATTTTCTTGTGAAAATATGAGCCATCTAGACGACGCTCGTTGCACCTGATTCCTTGTGGTTCGTTTTTATACTTTTTTATACTTTACGTCATTTTATAGGCCTTTGTCAAAGTGATCTCTCCACCGCGTATACACACAGGAGCTGAAGACTTTATGTCTTGTATCTTGGTAGACATGCATTTTCGCTTCGAATTAGAATTTTATCTTACCTTTGTGGAAGTCATTGAGAATTTTGATCCTAGACGTCCGTATTATTTTACCATTTAGGTAGCGTCACCTAACAATCTCTGTTTGTCGTTTACGGACACACGTTTGACAGAGGCTTCACATTTGTGTTACATTAGTGCTACTCATTCATTTCGTTTATTAACTCTACAGTTTCGTTTTTACAAATGATTAGCCTCAAACGGAACCACTCGATGGCGCTTCTTGTCTACCCGAAGATGCTATGCACCCAACATTTTATTTCACCGAGGACGACCTGCAACAAATTGCCGCCTCCAGTGAAGGAGTCTTCAGTATGTCCTTTGTGCCTCTAATCGGTTCGACATACCGGATCAAATTGAGGACCTATACAAATAATGCCGCTTCGGATAGTCAGACGGAACATATCACTATTTCCGGTGAGTTGCTCAGGTTATATTCAAACAGTTAAGCAATGAGAATCACAAAAGATTTTCATTATCTTCAACCAATCACCCAGCTATCAGTAGATTTCTTTGCATCCAAGGTCCATACCGAACTGCTTCTGTATTTACAGTTCCGTAACACATAAAAAGCTACATGTGGTAACCCAGTGGTATAGGTCACCAGGGGAAGTGAAGTCAAATCCCACCACCACCGCCTGACTGTCCCACTCTCCGTTTTATATGGCAACCCTTTGATTGGCCGTCGAGATATTTATATTATTGATTATTCAACAAAAGGAAGCAAAGTGCAAGATAGCAAATACGTGATGTCGAGAAAAACTGAACCATACCACTAGGTTTGATGCTAAGCAAAAGTAAAGCAAACGCAGTGGAATACAGACGAAATCAGAAAATAATTTTAGCTGCTGAGTTTCTCTCAAGTTGTCATTTCAAGTGTGGACTGAAAACGGTACTGCGGAATCACGGTAAACGTAAATAGGTTGGTTTGGGGTTCGGGATGATAGAAGTCATGATGCAATCGATAGGTGTTGTTACTCAGAATCTTGTCTACATACTTTTCACTGTCTTCGGTGTAATGATCATCGGTCGATCACGTTATTATCCGGGATGAATGAGGCACGAATCATGAAAAAGAAGACGCCAATCGGTGTCTGATATTCTGTTGTTAGAAAGTCACAAAGGATAATGAAAGACAGTGAAGTCAGATGGATGGAGCACACGGATGCTAAACTAGAAACACTAATGGTTACTTTCCCTTCAATCTCTTGGAGTCGACGGATTCGAAAGGACTGTCGTTGTAAATTTTTAACGGAACTCTGAATGTGGGAAGATCAGCGTAAATCGATGAACTTATTGTGACATCCGGTAACCGGAAGGAACAAAGTCTTGGTATGGAAACAGGGTTAATCCTTTGAACTTTATCAGGATAAGTCTCTCTTGAGTGAGTTACATTACATCAGGACGCATCAAAGCGGAGGCTTGAATAATAAGAGTCACTATGGTTGTCATAAGGAATCCGATTTCATCAGTTTCCTCGGGGCATAAATCGTTAAGGCAAAGATGTATGTTTGTAGGAATCTAAAACGGCATTCTGTAGAACATCACAGTTATACAATATGTGTTTTCACATTTTTTCCATCAACCTCGGTGCGTAAAGTTCGATTGGAAAGGTGGTCCCTTAGTCATGTTTGCAAAGCCGAAGGTCACTGAGTTAATTCTACATTTTGAAGTCCAGTCAACTCAAGAAACAGATTTATTACCCCCATCTGGTGCAAATTCAGTCAGGAAATTCTCTCAGAATTGTCACCTTCGAAGATTTTGGCCTTGCCAAGGGGTATAAAGTTTGTTCTTAGAGGAACAGAAAACCTTAGGGAAAATCTTCTTAGTAACGTGATCAGAGGACTCGATAGAATAACGGTATAAAACTGAAAGTTAATAGAGTAGGTCTACTAAGCGTTTCCAAATTAATATGGTTAAAAATTGGGTATCAAAGTCGTGAGAATCGTCTGAAACCAAATAAAGAAAAACATCTATATAAACCAAGGAAGTGACAAAGAAGAATTTCACAAACCTGGACCACTCACGTAAGGGGCGGATAGGAGATGTGTGTATCGTTCTGAAAATAACTGATCTGTAATAAATTAGATATATGAGCTTCCAAACAAGAATAGGGCTATCGATGTGGGTCGTAAATTGACGGAAAAGATTGGCGGAACTGTGGTACCAAACGTCCCTAATATATGTGATGATATCTCCTCAACGCCTTTCAGATGGGATGTAACCATCAACATGGTGAAGCACGAGGTTTGGCAATTCTATCTTCTATTTCCTCGTGATAGAAAACGACTCCAATGACCCCAATAACTCCAAATGACTTCCAGAGATCGAATGAGGTTACTGACTTGTGCACAATTCCCAATCAGTGAACTAACTTTGCTGGTGATAAGGACAGTTAAACACATCTAAGAGAAGGTTTTCGTAGGCAAACGTATATCAAAATTCCTGCGCTGTTTAGTGCAATGCTAAAACCTTGTGTGGATTTACTTCATTGGTATTTACTTATTGATAAGAGCGATCTAAGCGTAACTATTTAATTCAAAACGACTGCACAAAATACCATCCAGGAAAAAAATAAAGAACTTGAAATGGACGCTTGGGCACTAGACTAAACGCAAAAAATTCCAGCGGCAGGGTTGAAATCGCTTTTTACGTTACCAAGAGTTAGAATCGGTCACGCTGATGTACTTGTTTCCATATTTTCTTAATTTAGACACCA